CGTTATTAGTGTTCTTTGTATAAAATTCATTAGCAGTAGCTGCTTGATCTCCAGATAAATAAGTTGGTTAAATTGTTAGTAGAAAATGGCTAATTATGTAAATGGATTAGGTCGTCAATATTTCATTTCCAGATGCTTTTTTCCCCTTCTATGTAATGTTTCATCTTCTATAAATATAGCATGATACAGTGCACCATCGACTATGCATTCATCTTGTTGAGTACAGTAGTCTGCTCACTAGAAGAGCTGCATGTGCCAATGGAAATACAAGCCCTCTTAATACATTGATTGTATTTCATTTGTTTTAAGTGTTTCAGTCCCATTCCCATTATTCCTGGTTGGCTGTTATGCTGCAGTTTTGGACTATACTGAGGACAGCAAAGCTAGCAGCCAATAGTTAGCTCAGGGTGACTCTCAGAACTCATTCCCTGCTGTTTTTTTTCCCACACATTCCTCTCACTTTGGATTCCAAGTGTCTGATCTTGAACAACGCAACTACTACCATGCTGAAATATGCTGCAATTAAAACACCGGCTAGGCTTTGTTACTTCACTTTATTTGTTTATTTTTAGGAAAAACAACTTCATCTGAGACTGCAACAGTGATTTCTCTTCTCCTGCACTGAGCGGTTTCATTGTAGTTTGCCAGGCTTGCATTGCGCCTTTCGTCTTTTACATATTAACTCTGATATGCCAACTGAGAAATGACCCGCAAAAAGACATTTAACACTCACCTCCCTCCACTGTATTTACAATATACATTTTAATCAGCGCTTGGGATTAAATTAATGCTGATAGGCCGTTTTCCATGGACAGCGGGTAATGTAGGCAAGGGAAGGCATTGCCTTGCCAAAACGGCCTACGCTCTTTGCCAGCTGCCCAAGAGGGCTGAGGCACAGTGTGGCAGCCCATCTCCCTGGCCAGCCAGGAAGGACTGGGTTGTTAGGTGACTGCCCCAGCTGCTCTGGTCACCTGGGAAGGGTGGGACCATGCTGGGGCTGGAGGCAGTAACCTAGGGTGGGGGCAGGGAAGGTTGCAGGAGGGGCGAGGCTTAGGGCTTGCCTTCCTCAGCTGGGCCTTCACCTACCACCCATGCTATATCCAATATCTGGTATCCATGAAATGAGAGTATTGAGTTTTTTAAACAAATGCAGCGTAGGTGTGCTTCAGGATGTTTCATGTAAACTGCGTAGCTAACACTTTGTAAAATACAGACATCATCAAGTTGCACCATGCATAGAAACAGTCTCATTTCCCAAGACTTTTATTGGCCTTTCAGCTAGGAAATATTGTGATTTCTTTAATGGCTCTGCACAGTACAGGGAAACTGATTGTTCAGAACATATGGCTTCAACATTTCATAAAGTATCCAATAGGGCTGGGCTACTCAACACTCCGTGGCCCATTTGTTTGTGGCCTGCGGTGCGGTTTGGATTTACACGGGACTCAACACGCAGCCCACGGGTGGGAGCCAAAACAAAAGAATAGTAAATATATAATGGTCTTCTGTTGATAGGTGTTTTAGTAGTTACATTCCTGGACTATCATTGCTCATTAAAAGTGCTGCCATATGGTTGGAAATCGGGTAAATATTGCATTTTATTAATATCAGTAGAACGGACTTAAATGGGGCCTGCGTGTTGTGTAGTCGTGCCTTAATCTTTGTATTCATGCCCGCCAGTGTGAAAGAAGCAATTTGTATATGTTTGCATATATATTTGCATGTATATGAAACCACACTTAAGCTGCGGCCCTCAGCATGTGCTGTGAGTACCCGGGGACTTCCAAAGTTGAGTAGCCCAGCAGCAGGGCAATATTTGAAACATTATAGGAAAAAATGTCATTAAAAACAACCTTTCTAACTTGTTCATGGGATTCTGTTATACTAATTCTGGAGAAAAAACTTCACTGAAGGTGAAAGCTGTCTGTCCGAGGTTTTGTGTTAGTGACCACATAGTACAGTAATTACTTGTTTAACACATCCCCGCTTAACACGTATTTGCAATAGCACGGTTTTTTGGGGGGGGAACGTTTTTCAAATAACACGACCATCCCCAAATAACACGAAAATAATCAAGTGGCGGACTACTTCACGCGGAAGTATAAGTTGGTGAAAACAGTGGTAATACGCATGAGTCACAGCGCTCCTCCGTTCATTCATGTGTTTATCTTTGTGTTTTAACAAACCGCAGTGACTTGTGTTGCTAGCTATCGAATGTTGACATTGACAACCCAGCACCAACAAAAAAATGACTTTGCCATCAGCACCTGAAACGCAACCCCCACCTTTTCCATTATTTTTAATGGGAAAATTGACCCCGCATAACAATGTTTTCGCTTAGCACGAACATTTTCAGAAACGCATCTATAGTGTTAAATGAGGAATTACTGTAATAAATGAAAAGGGTTTTTTGAGACTCAAATTCCTATGGATAGACAGTACATATGCAGCAAGAAAAGGAACCCAAATTACTGTTCTTATAAACCAGGTGCAAAAATGAAAATAAAATCGTTTTTTGTTGTAGCACCTTTTATCTTAATATTGCTTAATTGATCATGCTTATTTTTCAGCCCTGATTAGCATTCAGAGTGTATGGTATGCATTTAAGGAAGTGTGCAGTGCTTTTAAAATTAGAAGAAAGCAAATATAGATGACCTTCTTTCAAGAAAGGAGATAATTGTGTATCAAATTGTTCATGCTTTCTGAGTGTAATTATTGAGGAAGCGATCGCGCAGCCACTTTGTTAACACTAGTGTAAATACTGTGAAATTTAATTGGACGGAGATTAAATACATTTTAGGTTAGCATCAGTTTACAGGCTCGAGATAACGCATCACCTCAATGATTTCATTTGTTCAGTACATTACTTAAATAAATGAGGTGTGATTTTCTGCTTAATATATCAGCCAAAATATTCCCTTGGAAAAGTTATAAATGGACTAGCCTCTATTTAGCACTGGGCCTTCATCAGATCTCACATTTTTTTGCAGGTGTCAAGAGGAGTGTCCTATTGGGACATATGGCTTCCAGTGCACTCAAAAATGTGACTGTCGAAATGGTGCGAAGTGTTACCACATAAATGGAGCGTGTATGTGCGACCCTGGGTTTAAAGGGCTCCATTGTCAAGAAAGAATGTGTCCAGAAGGGCTTTATGGCCTAAAATGCCACAAGAAATGTCCTTGCACTATCACCAACACACTCAGGTATGTAAATCATACTTTTTACTAGTCAAAGGACTAGTAGATACAAGAAAGAAGGCATGGGAAAAATCTGTATTTGATTCCACCCCTTTATCCCAGCAGTTTTCCTAAGGATCCAAGCCAACTCCTGTGAATTATTTCTTTGATTTGAGCGACTACAGGCTTGGAATCTTAAGTCCCGGTTAAGCACAAGACTTAAGCATGGACTTAACTTTAGGAAGAGGAGTAGTCCCACTGAAGTCCTGAATATTCAGATCTATATCCTAGTCCTGTAAACCATACTCATGTAAATCAGAATTACTTGCACAAGTAAAGGCTGTAATATGAGGCCCTTTTATGCAACACATAGTGTACATCAAAAGGCTAAAAACTGCACAAATTGAAGGATAAATACCATGATGCTGAACGCTGCCTTTTTAAATTGTTTTAGTAAAAATATTTTGTATTTTTTTTCCTTTTAAAAATCCTGTCAGAACAGAGATGTTTTACGAACCTCCATCTCTCAGACTTGGTTTACAGCATGACATTTCTTATTGAGTCTATGCACTCCAAACACACTTGCAAAATGAAACCTAATTTGCTTCATCTTATGTCTCGTGGCAAATTACCTTGTTGAAAACACTTGAAGCAGATGTATAAATAGACCTAAATCAATATCCCCTAGTCGCTCTCCAGCACTCTAACGAAGTCAACATTGTCAAAATAGACTTATCTCCCCTTCTCATGTGTGCCTATTTTTGTTCTTCATTTAGTATGTGCATGTGTAAAATATTCAAGAAAATAATTATCAGGGAAGGGTACCTGAAATGGAATAAACCTCACGGAAAAGGTCAGATCTTAATTTTTTATTTCTTTGTGCTTCTTTTCATGCCCAATCCTGCAGGGTTCTGACCACTAAATTCCTGCAAAATGCCACGGGTCTCTAGTGCCGAATAGATTTTGGTGGGAGTTACTGAACACCTAGTAAGAAGTGCTCGGAGTAGGGTTCTTTATCTGTCAGACTAACTCCATGTTTTGTTAGTCTTGAAAGTGCTACCAGACTATTTGTTGTTTTTTAAGTTTTTCCTGTGACAAATTAACTCGGCTCCCCCTCTGAAACTTTTGACCATGCAAGGCTCTGTATTCAGACGTATGGAGTGGAAATCTATCCATTATATGTTGATACCTTTCTACCAGGCAACCATCAAATAGGATATTGTAGGGGCTTGGACTGTTAAATGAAAGGGTGGTTTTGGGGGTTTTTTTACTCTTCCTCTTCAACATTCACAGCCAGCCCAGGAGTTTGTAGGTTTCAAAAAGAGAGAGGAATATTGATGCCCTTGATATGGACGTTCTTCAATTTTAAACCAGACTGGTGGACTCCTGAGTGCTACTGCTGACAGAGCTCCCTTGTAGTCTTGCTGCCTGCTAAAACACAAATACTTACTCCTGAATTATGCATGCAAGCGGCACCACTTAATTCTTGCACACATGCAAAAATACTTCAAGCAAATCTGCTGCCACGTTTGAGGCTGACTGTATCCATCAGTTGATCTTCCATGTGCTCCACTGTGAGCGTTAAGACTTTGCAACCCTGAGATTTGGCGCTTTTCCATAAGCAACAGTGGGATACTTAGAAACCCCATCGTTCTGAGCAGAGCAACAATTCCAGATGTGCTCCTTGGTGAAACAGTTGCTTGCAGTGTGTGGTCTGCCACAGAGGAGTCTCTTCACCTCATCAGACTCACACAGCTTGTGTTATGTAATACAGCGGAAACCACGGCAGTAAATGAGAGTGATAGGCGTGTGTAGCTGAGGGTTATACATTTCGGGTTAAGGCCAGATCCTTAGTCAGAGGGGGTCTGAGTGCAGTAGTGACGTAGAACAGGCAGCCAAGGTGCAGGTCTGTATGAAAGCTATTGGTGGAGTTGCCAGCTGGCATGGTTGGGGCAGTCTCACATGGAAGGAAGATGAAGGACCCAGCCAGGAGCATAAGAAAGATGAGAGTTGAAACAAATCTTTAATGGCCAACAGCTGTGCAGATTGTCACTGGTACCAGTGAAAATTCAGAAAGCAGTGTGCTTAATGCATAGTAATTTATTTGAGGGAGGTTACATAATACATATCTCCCTACGAAGCCTCATTTCCCCCCTCCCCTGGCATAAACCTTAGTAACTATGTTAAAAAGTCTCAAAGGGGTAGCCATATTAGTCTGTAACACTAAAAACAAGGAGTAGTCCCGTGGCACCGTAGAGACTAACAAAAATACATTTAGTTGTCTGCTTTCATGGCAAAATCCACTTCCTCAGATGATGAGTTGGAGTAGAAATAACAGAAACCAAGTTATAACAGACAAAAGAAAGGTCTCTATCAATTGTTGCACCGGTGTTAATGAGGCTGGAAATGCTTAGCTGTTGATGTAAAAATGCAGAGTTAAAGACAGGAGAGAGTGGCTTTAACACTGCATTTTTCCATCAAAAACTAAGTATGGGACACTTCCAGCCCACCGGTGCTACAATCGACAGATACCTTTTATTTTCCTGTCATAAACAACTTGATTTCTGTTATTTCTACTCCAGTTCATCATCTGAGTGAGTGGGTTTTGCTCACGAAAGCTCGTGATACTCTGTATATTTTTGTTAGTCATTAAGGTGTGGCAGGACTACTTTTGTTGTTTCTCAGTAACTGTGTTGGCCTTTCACAGCATCCTGATTGGCAAACAAAGCAGGTATAACTCTCCATTCTAAGGGGAGACTTCTTTTTGTGTCTTCTTTTCTTCTTTCCCCTCTGCTTTCAGGTACTCTGCTTGTCAACTGTCCCTCCTCCCCCCAAACAGGTTCTCTGTTACCCTGAGGTCTTCTGTCTCACAGGGTCACGGACATCATCAGCTGTTAATTGAGGGACTAACAAACCTATGATATTCTTAACATTTTATCCCTGCTGCTCTCAAAGGAGTCATGTCTTAGAAATGTGCCCTGTGGGCATTTCATTATGGATTTTCTCTAATTAATATTTGGGAAGCGGGACTGTAAAACAGATACAGACCAAAGCTCAGTCAACATTTACCCTCTCATCAGTCACTCGCTTGAGCATCTAGTGTGATGCCATCCGAAAGTGTCATTTTGAGCCCGATCAGCCTCTACCAAGCCCACTGATCGCATGTTTTTACAGTTTGTTTATCCGGTGAGCAGGTCCTCAGCTGATCGGTTCCAAAGTTCAATGTTGAAACACACATGCAGCTAGAACCTTTATTAACCATTCAAATATAATGTTAACACTGCCAGTAGATTTCTACACCATCTATGTAATGTTAAGAGAATCCTGCTCCCCGAGTCCTCTAGCAAATTCACACGTACGAGGCCATATCAAAATTACTCACCACACTTATTTATATTAACCACAGTAATTCATAATAGTGCTCCCAACAATGAGCACCCCCTGAGGGACAACAAAGGGTCCTTTCAGAGGTGGCTGGCTGGAAGTACCTGCCTCGCCTGGGGACAGGCTAGGATAAACAGTGTGCCAAGACGGGTTAGGGCCTGTGTTTTCAGACAGACTAACCTCTCTTAGCTTTCATTCCCTGTAATAGTTAGTTACTTTCTACAGCTAAGCTGTTCCTGGTTTCTGTCCAATCCAACGGGGCCAACAGCCATTAGGGGCCCGAGGGCAAAGTATGGGAGGGGACCTGGCTCCACGGCCCTGGAAGGGGTGGAGCCTCAGGTGAAAGGGGCGGGGCCAACGACAGTCAGCCCTTAGCGCTGCCCAGAGCACAGCACTGGATCCTCCCACCCCGCCCTTAGCGCCCCGCAGAGCAGTGGAGTGGGAGTTGCCTTTGAAACACCAGGCCCCTGGGCAATTGTCTTCTCCCACCCCGTCAGTAGGCCTGGCCCAGACAGTGCCTTTCCTTTCATCTTGGCCTCATCAGCTTCACTTGCAGCAGCATCTGCTCAAGATGAGATCTTGCTCTCCTTAATAAATGAGTCTAGTCTCTCCATTGATAAAATCTGTCTTTTTCCTACATCTTATCACCGCTGTGGCGGAACAAAGAGATACCCGCGAGCTGTCGATCTGGACGTGTTCTTCCATTCATCGATGGTATTTCAGCCTTTCACTTTTCAATGAACTCTGCAGAACCCTGTCAGTTTCTGAGCCAAGGAGTTCTGAGTTGATAGGAAATGACCTTCTCCAAAGACATTACCTATTCTGAACAACTCTTTGTACCGAATTTCGACTTGCTCCCACCTAGAGCATTTCTTACCAAGATTGTATCACTCCTGAGGTGGCTGGCCTCCAAAGTGACTCGGTTTCCGACATGGACAGTCATCTGCTTTCCAAAAATGCCATTAAAAGCTGGTGGCTTGTTCGTTTTGTGACCTTCACAACCTGAGGTATTATTAACTATTGGATAGGGGATGGGAGAGGCCTGCTGCTTTTTCTGGCAAAGGTTTTGTCCTGTTCAGTTCAGTCCTTGGACAACTAGCTTAAACTGTAGCTTTTTGGGGAGGGGGGGGGAGAAGAGGACCCTATCTGGAGTAAAAGATAAGCTTCAACGTCTTCATAGACCTGGTCTACACTAGGATTTTATTTTGAAATAACCCCCCTTAGGTCGAATTAGTAAGCAGAGCATCCACACTACCAAGCCCGTTATTTCGAAATAACAGGCTGCTTATTTCAAAATCTGTACTCCTGCTTTCCTCGGGGAATAACGCTAATTTTGAAATAGTTATTTCGAAATAGCAGGAGTGTGGACGCTCCAGGACTGCTATTTCAAAATAATGAGTCCCCGGAGTCATTCAAACTAATTACTCCCAGGTGCTTCTTGGGCCTCTGAGTCGAGCTAGCGAATCCACAATACCGAAGCCAGCCTCGGACTCATTTTGAGGCTTCCCTGTAGTGAGGACACGTTGTTTCAATTTTGTTATTTCGGGCGTTATTAAATGGAGTGTAGTTATTTTGAAATCATTTCCTAGTGTAGACATGCCCATAGAATCAGAGAGAACGCTTGAAGGGAGCATTATGATCATCTCATCTGGCCGTCTGCATGAGAGAGACCCAATAATTCCTGCACCAAGGCATTCGGAGAACTTCCATACAAGGCTTCAGCCAATCCCAGCATGAAGAGGGCGAGATGGTCACTTGAGCTGTATACCCCAGGAAGCAGAGGAAGTAAGGAGCCGCACTCTTGCTCTGTGTCTACCAGGACATTGAGCCCAGGTCTGCAAGAGAGTGAAGGGTTTACTCCCCTACGACTTTCTCCTGGCCTTCATCTTGTCTTCCTCTCCTCAGCTTGCTGCCAGTGCAGCTGAGCCAGCGTTGGGTTTTAGCAATTTACTGCTCGTATGGGCCAGCAGCAAACGCTTGTCCCCACTAGCAATAGTAGAGCAAGGCGGGAATTCTGACTCCTGGTGCTAGGATTTCTTTCCTGGACCTCCCAGCTGTGCACCGCCCTGGACTTGGAGCTGTGGGGTTGTGACGAAACCTCTTGGGAGCAAGTGAGACTCCAGCAGGGGGAGATGTTTTGCGACTCTGTTGGATGGGGTCATCAGGGCTAACCTCCATGGAACTTTCCCTGTGGTATTTTCCCTTGAACCTAGGGCTGTATTGCAACTGAACGGGGAAGCCAACAGCCTCCGCAGGCCCCTGGCTGGAAAAGATGAGAGGGAACATTGCTGCAGGCAGGTGACTGCTTCACCCTGCTCAGACATGCTAATTCCCCACATCACTAAATAATTTTGCAGCTCAGCCAGGCATTTGCAAAGGCACAGACTACTTTTCCTCCCCTCAAGCATCACCCCCTGGTTGCTGCCTAGGGCTACTGCCTGCCCTGGCCCAGATGCTATTGAGCTTCCCTTTGTGATGTGTCCACGGGTCTTGTGTTCCCTGATCAGCCCATTGGCTTGTCTATATTGTTTGTGCTTCTTAATTGCAGCTTACTGGTTGGCAGGGAGAAATTTCTTGTATGCGTTATCCATCAGGCTGCCAGAGCGTAACGTGGACAGATGGGCTTGGAGGGTACATTTTTAGACTGGGGAGGGGAGGGATTAAGCACATTTATCTGATTTGTTAATGGAATTTCTTGTCTTACTTAAAACTTTTACCCTTCCTGAGTCTAAAGTCTAAAACAGTGTCACCTTGACCTGCTGTACGTGGTGAATTAAATTCACTGAATTATATATATAATATAGTTGTTTAAACATTGATAGGATTTTTGCAGAAAGCTGATGCAAAGAAGAAACAACAGAAGAGGAGGTTCTGAACTAATTCTCTCAGTTTTCATAATAAGGGACTTCATTTAGATTTGTATGTAGCTCTATTGACGTTAGAATGCAGTGGCATGGTTTACAAGTAGCAAAGCTCCTGCAATAATAACTCAATACTTATGGAACTATCAATTATAAATCTAAAAGGGCATTTTACAGATGGAAAAATTGAGATGCAGAGAGGGTGAGTGACTTGACCAAGATCTTCTAGTGAGTCGTGGCGGAGGAGAACTCAGATTTTTTTTTACCAACTTCTGACATATATAAGTCCATGAGTAAGGCTGTCCATCAATACAACATGGCTATCGAAGATTAATATTATGTTTCAGTGCACTGTATTCTCCATAGGATGTTCGCCTACTGTTTCTACGTCCACAGAATATAAAAAAGATACCATGAAGTTTTGTTTAGAGGAGTTTCCTGGTTCTTTGGTAGCTGCATTCTTTAATGGAACATACAGGCTATTCTGAGAATCCTAAGAAGTACAAGTGCCGAGCCTGAGGAAAAAAAAGCAGTCTGATTGCTCTGATATACTTGGACTTTGGGAGAAAAAACACCTTGGCTCCATCGGGCTGATTATGTGAATCCAAAGGCACAAGATCGTGGCCCTGTTCTAGTCTGGAAGTGGAATCGGCTCCATGGAGGGATGACAGAGCTGCCACACATCTGTCCTGGGGGCGGATTCCTTCCCCCCTAACTCTTTTTTGCAGCTCCCCGAACCATGCCAGTTATTCAAGCTTGGGGGGGGGGCGGGTAGGATGAATTTTGCCCTTAATAAATAGCCTATATCCCATGCAAAAAAGCTGTCCTGTTTGATAAAAGAGCCAGCCTTGAAGCAGAAATGCTTACGGGGTAGAGTATTTTCAATTGAGTTGTCACAGACTGATTCAGACTGCTGTGATCATATATTATTTTTGAAAGATTTAATTTAGACAACAGATGCTGCACTGGAGAAGCCCTATCATACGTGCAGTAGAAACAAAACCAAAGAAACAAAAAATCCACTCCAGAAATATTTCTTTAATGTTTGGCTTTCTGCTCCCATTAGATAATGATGAATAGATGCGCAGGGAGAAAAAATGAGCTTTTATTATTTTTATCTAAATGTGAAGAGGTGCTGTGCGAGCCACCATCATTTCAGGGGTGCTTTGTCAGGAGAATTTCGTGGCTGGTGGTTCATTAGACTGATGAATTGTTTTAATTAGTCGGTAAAACACTATTTATGATGAAAACATATGACAGCCCCAAAATGTGGTGATTCTTAGTCACAACAATGTGTGACTAATCTCTTCACCCAAGTGCATAAAATACGCTCACAAGCCATGCTGTATGAGCTTACCTTTAAACGGAAGACAGAGGATATGAATGGCATCGCTACGAAGAAACCCATTCACTCAAGACATGCCGATAATTAACTATAAGCAGTAAATGGAACCGTGGATTGGGAAGCCCCAGGAAGAAGGTTCTAAGAATGTTCTCTCCGTATATACCGATTTTGCTTTCGAGAGTAGTAGAAGTAGTCCCCACTTGTTGCATTATTCCTCTTCTCTCTGCCAGAGGGTCAGATAGTGCAATAAAGACACCATGGCAGCTCTGAGCGCTGGGGAGGGTGGTGCACTATGGTGCAGGCGGCGCTGAGGGCCGGTTGCCCGGTCCCCGTCCCTTCCACCTGAAGCCCTGCCTCTTTTGGGGGTGCAGAGTTGCACCTTGTCTGGGGGCCTGTGGAAGCTGTCAGCTCCCCTGCACCACAGACTTCTAGGGCGGAGCCCCAGAAGTAACGTAATGCTTCCCTGAATAACCCCAGAACTCTGGAGAAATTTCCACAGATTTCTAGGGCGGAGCGCCAGAAGTAATGTAATGCTTCCCCGAATAACCCCAGAACTCTGGAGAAATTTGCCCACTGGAGGATCCAACGTGCTCTCTCCTCTGCATCCAGCTGGCTTTGTTGGCCAGGGGAGAGGAGAGGCAAGGGTAATGGCCGTGCTCCCTTTGCATGACCCCAGGGAGAGCTAGGAGGGAGCAATTTCTGCACAGCGAAAAGGAAGTGGGGGGGGCACAAATGGGTGCCCACTGGCTGCTTCGTGGCATGGGAAAACGTGGAAGCAGAGGGAAGAAGGATGCTTGTCCTCTCCCCACCATGGCCACTTGCACAAAGACCAGGCACAATTCCAGCCTGGTTCTTAGGTATACTTTGTCCCCTTTCAGCTGCCACGTGGGTGCAACGGGGCCTTAGTAAAAATGGAACTTGAAGGCTATTGGCAGCGCTCGCCTTTCAGCCTTCAGGCACCGTCGAGTGTCCCGGGGGGTCCCGCTCACTCCACGCAGGAAGCCCTGGCTCGCCTCTCTGCACCCCTGAGAATTTGTCGCTGGACGCCTCTTGTCTCCAGTCCTGTGCCCAGGTTCCAGACGGTGCCTGGGAGGCCCCTGATGTCGCTGGGGATCCCAGGGACAATCCTTTTGCGAGAGGTTTCCATGTACATGTTCCCTCTTTCCCATTTAGCTGCCCTTTCTGACGACTCTGCCCTGCGGTCACTCGTCTCCATGCCACAAGGGTGGGGGAGGGATTCTGTTCAGGGCCCCTTTCCTCTGTGACCACTAGACAGTGATTTCCTTCTCCTTTAGTTTATTGCTGCCTTCCAATTGGACCTCACCCCTGCCCATCTTTAACTGACCCTATTGAGCTTAAGTCCCACCCAGTCCTGCTCCCATTGGTCTCGATGCCAAAACCCACATTGGTTTGAATGGGGGGAAAGTGCCAGTTAATTGATAATCTAACTCTGAGCGATGTTTTACTTGGGATTTTCTACTTTAAGGTGCCCTTGCTAGTTACAAAGAGGATTGTTTATTCGTCTCTGCTTTTCCATAACGCCTGTCTTTCTTCATTAGCTGCCATCCGCTCTCTGGAGAATGTACCTGTAAAGCTGGCTCGGCTGGACTATATTGCAACGACACCTGTCCTCCTGGATATTATGGGGAAGGCTGCCAGCTGACCTGTCTTTGCCGGAACGGTGCAGATTGCGGTAGCGTGACAGGGAAATGCACCTGTGCTCCCGGATATATGGTGAGAGAGGGACAAAAATAACTGGGTATCTAACATGGGGAGGGGCTGCAAAAACTAAGTCTCATGGTATCTAAAAGGGTGTCACAAGGAGGTGGGGGGGGATGGGAATTGTTCTCCTTGGCCTCTGAGGATAGGACAAAAAGCAATAGGCTTAAATTGCAGCAAGGGAGGTTTAGGTTGGACATTAGGAAAAACTTCCAAATTGTCAGAGTTTGGAATAAGTTGCCTAGAGAGGTTGTGGAATCTCCATCTCTGGAGATATTTAAGAGCAGTTTAGAGCATCTGTCTGGGATGGTCTAGACCATACTGGGTCCTGCTTTGAGGGCGGAGGACTGGACTCGATGACCTCTCGAAATCCCTTCCAGTTCTAGTGTTCTATGAGTCTATGGGTATAGGTCACATGGTCTTCTGATGATTCCCAACCGGAGTCCCCAGAATTGGGCAAGGACAGATTCAAAGTTGAGCCTGAGGGTCGGTGTTCCGGTCTGCCCTTCAGCAGTTGTCTCAATGAAGTACGCATTTGGAGACGCGTGGGGTAGGATTTTCAAAAGTGCCTAAGGATAGTAAGTACCTAACTCCTATGGTGAGTCAGTAGTTGTTGTGCATCTAATTGGCTTAAGCCTTTTTTTTTTAAATACAGCCCATGGAGACTAATTTTCCACTCATTAGCACAGGCATAAATCAAGAGTGAATCCAGCCACTAGGAAACCACCAAAAGCTAGAGGGGGAAATCAGACCCACAGCATGCTAACAGCAACAGCAAACTAAAGAT